CATTCCAGGCCAGGTTGGATGGGGCTGTGAGCAACCTGATGTGGTTAAAGGTGTCCCTGCTCCTGCAGGGGGGTTGGGCTGGGTGACCTCTAGGGGTCCCTTCCAACCAAAACCATTCTATGATTCCCTGTGGATTTTGGTCACTCAGACTTAGTTTGCATTTGTTTTACTCCATCGGAGAGCCCCCTTTGCTTTTTCTTATGAGGAGAAAAAAAGGACAAATATCATCTCATGTTTCAATTCAACATTTCTTCCCCTTTAGGGAAAAATTCATCTCCGAGGGTGATAATGGCAATTTTCTATGAGAAAACCCATCGGCCTCAGGCGTTCCTGGGCCGCTCCTATTCCAGGCATGAGCACCCATTGGGTGCTGGTATTTTTGTGGTCCAGCAAAAATGGCATCTTTAGGTGCTCCTGGAAATTTGCTGTGCTGGTATTACTGGCTTTATTATTTAAAAAAATAAATAAATAAATAAAAATTATCTGCTGTTATTTGGGCAAAGCAGGAGCTCAGCCGTAGCCACTGCCTTCCTCCTCTTCCACCTCCTCGCCAGCCATCTCCACCTTCCCCGTTCCCCCAGTGCTGTTTATTCTGCTGCATGTGCTTCATATTTTTGCTTAATACTAATTCACATAAAATCCTTGTGAAGAAGAACCACCCATCTACACATATGGAAACAGTCTCGGCACGCAGTCCCCATACCCAGCTGGGAGTCAGAAAGCCGTGTACAGCTCAAAATTAGGATACAGACAAGTGGTGAATGTGGGAGAAAAGGCAGTTAAAAGGAGAAAACCACGGCATGTAAATGGGTTATTACTTCAATCACCCAATTAGGAATCTATGGGCTCTCTTCTTCATTTCTTCTAAGGCAACAACATAATTAATTAAAGTGAAATGTCTTCTCTGCTCCCGTCTGTCACTCAGCCACGAGTCCGAGCGAGCCTCCCATGAACCGCCACTGACAAACCATAAAATTATTAGTAAAAAAAGTAAGGGGGGGGGGGAAAAACCCCAACCCCAGCACCCCGAAGCCACAATGATATCGCCGGCCCGTTGACGCCACGGATCAGGTGACGCCAGTCTCCCACCCAGCGGATGCCGAGCCGTCGGCTCTGCCGTGCCGACCACAGAACCACCAGCCAGCCGGAGGCTACCTGCGCTGCCAGCGGGGTTTTCCTCTTCCTCTCCCTCGCTGCCACCTCTTCCATCGCTCCTCTTCCTCCTCCCATCCCTCCAGGGGAGCCAGGATAAGGGACAACAGGGATGGCTTCCAACAGCATCTTCGACTCCTTCGCCACCTACTCCTCCGCTTTCCTGCGCGGTGAGTACAGACCGGCCTCTTTCGTTCCTCGGTGGCAGGAAACGTCATCGGGTTTTGCATTTATTTTATTTTTTTTTTTTTTTTGCAAAGAAGCAAACTGGCAGCGGGCTCTGATGCAGCTTTGGGAAGGGTCGGGCTGAGCGGTGCTGGGATTGATTTGATGCATTTGCTGCAGTCCAAGTTGTTGGACGGGTGCAGCCCAAGGGGAGCAAAAATCTGCAGAAATATAAATTGCTTCTAGAGAGAAACCGGTTTGCAAGGAGAGAAGAGCTGGGGGAGATTAGGGCTGTGTTAATGCTTACAACTTTATTTGTTTACTTTATATATGCTATTCCAAATATGAAAACACATGGCAACTGTATATAGTGCTTTACTAAATATATAACTCCGTTGGGCGATGAATGGGTTCACTCCTCCTGGCCTCTCTGCGCACCCCGGGACACGATGCTCTCATCCCTCCCGGCTGCCTCGGGACAGGCAAACTGCCTGCCAGAGGCAGTCGCTTCTCCCCAAATTTCTTCTCTGAGTGATCCCAGCTCCCAGCCAGGATCTCAGGTCCTTGGACTTGAACCCGCCTTCATTTCACAGCTGCCGTCCTCTCGCCGTAGCCCCTCTGCGGCCACGCTGCTCGGGGTGAACCGGGCGGGCAGGCGGGGGCTGGAGCTGCTGGGACGGTGGCTCCCAGGTGTGTGCCGAGGCCTTTTTGGGAAGAAGCCAGGGGCTTGCTAATGCATCCGGCTCTACAAATCTCCGCCTTTTCCCTTCTGGAGGCAGTTCAGGAGCAAATGCTCGAGCTGGTCGTGGCTGCGAGGACCCAGGTCCTGAGCGATGGCTCGTTGCAGTGAACCTGAGAGGGTCAGGGGAGGGACATCATCAATCCTCCCCCCCTCAAAGAGCAGAACGCAGCAGGTCACCCAGGAACATGTTGCTCCAGAGCAGATTTTGGCCTGGTTTTGAGAACACAAAAGGTTACGTGGCCTTTTGAGGCGGATCGGTGGTGTCAAGCTGGAGTCTTCTTCCGAGCGGAGGGTGTTGGAGAGGCAGCAGCAAGAGCCAGGGATGGGGCTGGGGGGCAAATCCCGGCCAGCTTCCCCAGCCTGGATGCACCATGCCGGAGAGCAGGGCAAATAAGCAGAACGGTCCCGTTCATCTGAATGCCCTCTGCTCAGAGATGGTGGCATTATAAATGTGTCCTTTGTACTTTATGCAGCTAATTAAAGGCAGTCCCATGGCAAGGAAATAAGAGAAGTTTATAAAAAACATTTGCACGGTTCTTTTTAATCTATACTTCTCCCTCCGCAAGCCAGATGAAGAAATGCCGGGGTTTAACTGGGCTTTCTCATTTAAAAATAAAAAGAGAGCAAGCAACAGAAATATCACGTCTTGTAGGCGATTTCCATACAAATAGAAGCTCATAAAAGCAATAAACATCTTTGTTTCAGACATAATTTTTTATTAAATAGGGAGGAATAAAACGATTGCACCAAGGATGGCATAGGGCCAAAGGGTGAAACATTTGTTTAGTATTAGGACAAGAAATCCTTGTTTTCTTTAAGGAGCTCAGCGCGTCTTCTCCTGCCCAGCGAGAGTTGGGCGAGTACTGCAAAACAGTCACCGGCGTTCATTGAAATTCCTCATGGCTTTGGGGGATTCAACCGCACTCATAGTTTTTGTTTGCTTTTCTGGGCACATCCATGAAAATGGGTGTTTGTTTGCACAAATATTTAAGGAATGAAACGAAAAATCCCAAAGGTATTCACTAGTTAGTCTGGAAACTTTTTTTTTTTTATAGAAAAGGGATTTTTATTTTTTTTTTTGGCTTTACAATGGGGCGGGCGAAGGAGCCCCACGTGGGAGAGCGGCACCAATCCCCACTCACACGTGCTGGATTCATGACTGAGTAAAATATCCGGCGGGGACTGAAATAAATTTGCCTCCAGTTGATGGTTTGGGGGATATAAACCCCATTTTTGGTGGCCAGCGCTGGCTTGGGGCCTTGGGGGCTGCCCTCACATCTCATCACTACTTTTGGAGACCAGCCTGAAGTTGTAAGATAAACTGGGCTGAACTGGGGGGACTCCCCTGCTGCTCCCAATAGCCAAACCCCGTGGTGGGTGCCAGCCTGAGCTCCCGGCGCAGCACATGGGACCTGACCAAGGGATGGCCGCGCTCCTCTGCAGGGCTGCCAAACACTTTCCTATTTTATTTTTTTGGGGGTGGTTTTGGGGGGTGTTTTGGTTTTGGGTTTTTTTTTTTCAAGGAAAAAATAACTGCATCTTTTTCTGCTCCATCCGAGCACCCCGTGGTTTGGCTCCTGGGTCCAGCTGTGCCCTCCTGGGACCTCCGGCGCTGCCGTCACAATGGCAGCCGCTTGCCTCTAAGTCATCAAACCACAAATGTCACATCTGTGAGTCAGTTTTTGGTTACCAATGGCTATCAGGACGGGGAGGCCTCAGCCACAGGGGCTGGGTTCTCAACAGTGGTTTATCTTCCACTGCATTTTCAGTGGAAACCTGCAGGGACGGCCACGGGGTGCAACGCTCCGCGGGGCCACCGAGGGAGGAGCGAGGTGTCAGCGACTTGGATGCTCTCAGACCTGTCAGTTGAGGGCTGGGAGTTATTTTGCCTTGGGGTGAGCCCTACGGAGGCTTGCTGGTGGCTCAAGCTGGCTCCTTTGCTTGGGACACCCATGCTGGGCTTGTTCACCTCTCCCTAGCTCAGGTCACCAACATTTGACATTTTTTCCTTGACCTTTGTAAATCTAAAAGCACACAGGAACAGCTTGTAGCCATCACTGGCCATCCACGCTCCCCAGTGAAAATGAAACGGCGTTATAGCGCTCTTTTTGCCTCTTTCCCCATCACGTTGGTGTCCTCGTGGGAGGCTGGCCTCACCCCACCGCCTTCCCCAGGCGGCTTCATGCCCTTGCACAGGATGCAAAGGGCACCACGCTGACATCCACGGAGGGAATTTTACTATTTATTTTTGCAAATGCACCAATGTAGGCTTGCTCTTGGCCATGACGCAGTGCTCAGTGCTGCTCTGAAGGAACTGGGACTGATCCTGGGGGTTAGTCCCTGCTTTGCGGCTTCTTGTGGGTTCTCCTGGTCCTCGCCTCTGGTTGATCATGGCAATTTTTCTCCTGTCTCTGCATCTTCTTCTCCGCTTTGCTAGAGGGAGTGGGTGGTCCATGGGGGCGCAGGGAGCCTGAGGGTCCCTGCTGGCCCTTCACAGCCTCGTTAGCCTAATGAACAGGCACGGTTCTGCCTAAAGCGGGAGCATGGGGGCTTGGAGGGTCCCTGCAGAGCTGCTCTGCCCTCAGGGAAGGCAGCGGGCTGTGGCCCTGGGGCAGGCAGCCTTGCCATGGGGGTCTCTAATCCCCCCAAGAACATTGTCCACCCCATAGGAGAAGAAATGAGCCATGATCCCATGGGGGACCCACCTCATCCCCAATACATGGCAGCTTATATGGACAAACTGGCTTCTCCTGGTCACGGATCTGCCCCAGCAGATGCTGAAGGAGGAGCAGGAGGAACCCCTGCGATGGTGGCCCTGGTGCTGGTCACCTTTGGCTTCTGAAAGTGGGCAATGCCGACTGCCCTGGTGCGCTGGGCCGCCGTCATTTCTTCTCTGGGAGGTTGCTGCCTCCGTGCCTTTCCCCCATTTGCACGATCACGGATTAGTCAGAGTTGCGCAATTGCTGCACTGGGGGCTGTGGTCTCAGGCTGGAGCATTTTGGGGCACGGGGAAGCCACCCCAGTGCTCCGGCCGTATGCCAGCACGGTGCCTCCTCTCGCTGCACCCCCAAGTCCCCGGCAGCTTTCCTCGCCAGCCAGGGAGGGGGCGATGGCCCCAGCTCATCCCGAGCAGAGGTTGCTTTTTCCACCCTTCCCGTAACTGGCCACTGCAGGATTCCCGCTGGGCAAACTTCCTTTTAATGGATTTCTGTGTTTCTTCCTAACCACAGAAAACTGTAACCCGGACAGTTTTTTTAAGGTGTTTTTTCCTCCTCCTGTGGCGCCGTGCGCTGGGCAATGCCTCCGGGGGAGGCTGGGTGAGCGGGCACCGGGTAGCACCGTGCACACGTAACGGTGTCGCTGAGCTTCGCCGTCACATTTCCCTAAAGGCAGGTGTTTTGTCTCATCCTCTACCACCCCAGGTGATTTTTTTTTTTTTTTATTTTACATATGGGTAACTAAGGTCCCTACCAGCATGATGGCAGCGCGTGACACCGGGGCTCTGCGGTGATTGGGTGCTGGGGTGGGAGGCACGAGCACATGGACCGTGCCTGCCCGCAGATATCAGACACCTTCCCTGTGTCTGCAGCTGGGAGAAGCAAGGCAGGGCCTGCGTGCTGGGGCGAGGAGGGATGCCCCCAGAGATCTCGTTGGACATTAGGGAAAATGTCTTCACCATAAAGGGTTGACAGGAGCTGGAAGGTGCTGCCCAGGGAAGGGGTCGAGTCCCTGTCCCTGGGGGGATTTAAAAGCCGGGCAGACGAGGTGCTTAGGACCAGGGTTTAGTGGTGGGATGGCAGGGGTA